AATTTGCAGAGGGAGGCAGCTATCGGGATTGATCCTTGGTGTGTGTTAGTGGACACGGCTCAAAGATGGGAATGGTGGGTGTCGAATCTAAAAAATAATAATACTTACTTTTAGAAATATAAATTTGTAGTAACGGTAAAGCAAGGTCGAATTCATAATGATTGGGTAGACTTATTTTAATGAAAATTAAAAAAAATAAAAGGGATTTTAAAATCGAGAAGAAATCAAAAGGAATAAAAGCATTTAAAATAACTAAGAATTTAGAGAGATTAATATTAAGAAAATATCCAATTAAAGGTTCAGAGAATTGATCATAAATGCTATGATAAAATCTTCTATTTTTCACTAAATTTGTTATGGTTATTAAGAAGCTCTAACAACATGTCTATCCTTATTTTCTCGATAATTAAGAGAAACTCTTTGATTATTTCCCTTGTTAATGAACAACCCTAGACAAACTCTTAAGATTTAATCCACCAACAACATTAACCACTTGAGAGACCACCAATTCTAGCCAACAAATGCACAAGCTCGATTAATTTAGACTAGGTTATATACCTTCATAACATAATCAAAATCAACTATATTACTTTACCACTAATATTAGAATATTTAAACAATTACGAATTTAAAGTTCTAAATGGTAATTTATCAACTTGATAATTGAACAACGGACCTTTTGCATAATTAATCAAGACAATAATTCTTAATAAAAACAGAAGATATATAAATAGCAAAGAAGTAAAAGAACAATGAAAATTATTTAGATCTCACAATCCTTGAAGAACCAAAATTTTAATTATCCTCCAATTGGAACAAAAATATTTAGTCACTCATAATTAAAAGAACACCAAAAGAAAAAGAAAACTTAATGAAAGACTTAATGAAAACTTGATTCCCTAACTCCCCTTTTATAAGAATTTTCTTACTCTAGATAAAGAAGTTTCACTTAAAGGAAATCCCACAAAAATAGGAGTTTTAAATGACATCATCATTTTCTAAAGATAAGAATAATTCAAAAAAATCTTCCAGCTGTTATTAAATTCTTTTTTTCTTGTAAATTCGTAACCTTAATTTAGGGTTGTACGGACTGGTAAGGCGCGCCCATGTCTTAACTGAAGACTTCTTCTGCGAAGCTCAGGATGAATAAGTCGTGTCCACGCCTTATGCGAAAATCTCTTCCGGTCTTGTCAACTTCTTGAATTTCGATTTTTCCTCCTTAATTTGGGGATTTTGTGAAGATCATGTTAATCATTAGATTTTGAATTTGTTTTATTCAAATCTTCAACCTAATTCACAAAATACGAAATCTAATCAAAATCCATGATTTAAGCAATTTTGGTTATTCAAATATGAATAAAATATCATAGAATATATGTCTAATATGCATCTTATCAAGGGAATGAGCTTTTGCGAAAAGGAATTAGAAATTAGTTCAAACCTCTACCAATTTGGTTGATGAGGTTTGGAAAAACAGGCCACCAGGTGAAACTAATCCGGTTGTTGATCATCCCTTGGAATTTTCCTGTCGTTCTTTTGCAGAAAAGTTGAAAGATTTGAGGGTAAAGCTCGCCAACGAAAAGGCTCGTGGAATTACCATCACAGCTTTAGATGAGGTGTGGTTTTATCAAATTCTTGGTTCTAATCGAATCTGTTGAGCATTTTTTTTCTAGTTTAAATGACTAGTTTACAGGTTGCTTGGCTGTATGATATCGGTGGGAGCGATGTATCTTACTCTCCAGTTGTTCATTCCTTTGCTATTGTAACAATGAACTCGGCTTTCCTTTATGTTGACAAAAGGAAGGTTTCTTCTAAGGTAGGAATTTGAGTATATATACTTGGTTCTTGAAGTTTTCAAAATTTTTTTACCGTATTTGATCATCTTAAATAAAGGTATAACTTTTTGGGCTAGATGGTTTGGGTATATTGATCACATGTATGTTAATGCAGGTGAGCTCTTCCTTGCAAGAGAATGGAATTGAAGTTCGGGAGCACGTTGCAGTGAGTTCGGATGTTGTGATGTTAGCATCTAATCAGCTTGACCAGGCCATGAGAGTGAATTCTAGTCAAAATGATGTTTGTGAAAATGATACTTGTGATAATGATCTTATATGGGTTGATCCTGCCTCCTGCTGCTTTGCTTTGTTTTCAAAACTAGATGCTAATAAGGTGCTCCTGCAGCAGTCACCCTTGGCCCTCGAAAAAGCCTTAAAGGTTGTTGAAGCATTTCTAATCTGGTTAAATTTTATTTTGAATTGCATAGAATATATTTATATGAAGTCCTCTTCTGATATTCTGAAAATAATTTATATAGAACACCTTAGATTTTGGATAGTTACTTGTAAATCCACCTGCACTGATCCTAAATAACAAGCATTTGCAGCCTCCGAAAAGGAGAAAAAGGAGAGCCATTACCCGTTTAAAAGAACATGCAAGGATCTTTAATATTTAAAGATGGATTCTCCTTTGTCTTGTTTCATCTTAAATTAATCTATATTTATCAACAAATTTTGCGTTTTTAGAATCCAGTTGAGTTGTAAGGGCTAAAAAATGCGCATATCCGGGATGGTGCAGCTGTTGTGCAGTTTCTTGTCTGGTTGGATAAGCAGGTATCGGACTGTGACCTTTGTATATTATTTTCTATCTTGAAAAATTTGTGAACATTCTCTCTAATTCTTTAAGCTTCTAACTCATTTTTTAGATTTGGTTCTTATCTCAGAATAAAAATATTTCTCATCATATTCAACTAGGTTATAGGCTGGAAATGATGCTATTGCTCTCTCAATTGAACAGATGCAAGAGATTTATGGGGCTTCTGGTTACTTCTTGGAAGGGGAGGTAGCAAATAAAAAAAAGACTGTAAGTAAGATTATTGCAAGTTGATATCTTGTCTTTCACCTATGCTCTCTTGCTGTTCTTTGAGCCTGAAACTAAACAGGCTGTCGCCTCTCTTGAGAAAAAATCTGAGCGGAGGTGGACTGACTGATGCTTAGTTTTTTCATGCTTTTGGAAAGAACGATGCAGGGAGACTATGAAACTGACAGAGGTGACTGTTAGTGATAAGTTGGAGGGGTTTCGTGCATCAAAAGAGGTGACAATACTTTTGAAAAAGCTCTGTTGTGGAGATAAGAAAAATAAATTATCTGCAATCCCCAAACTTTAACATATTGAAATCAACGGCAATCCCCAAAGCACCAGTTCCGAACATATCGTCAACTAGAGCGGCGGGACCAGACTCCAACTTAGAGATTTCAGTTTTGAGGAACGGCAAAGACCGTAGAATGGTTGCCACTAATTTCTCTACAAACGAAGGTCCAACTATGTCAGAAACGTCGATGAATGGGACTAAAACAATATCAAGGAGACCATCGTCATCAGTCTGCCAGTGATCGAAGAAGTTGGGTGTTTGCGATGGAGGCATGGTCGGTTGCAACAACAAAGAATGTCACTTTGAAGCTTTGATGGGAGACGAGGCGATGGGCAAACGATAGCACTGGAATCAAGTGTCCCATTCCAGGGCTTGCAAGGAAGAGTACACGAGGCTTTGCGCTTTCCATTGAAGGAAGACTGATGACAACAAACTTAGAAATTAACGAAAGAGAAGCAATTAAGAACGGGGTAAGGTTGAATCGTGCCCGTGCACTGCATGCTTTTTGTACAAGACCTACTTATAGGTAAACGATCCAGCTCATTCTTCGGTGTTAGATCAAGTATCAAATTTTTATTTAATGCAAGTGTTGCATGTAAATTATTATTTTTTTCATTGACAATCAATTACGTAAATCTCTTCTTTTAGAAAACTAATTATTTACTTAAAATTTAATCATCTATGACTATAATGGTTTTAGAGAACCAAGTTTAACTTGTTAGCCTAGCTGATGCGAAAAAAAAACTTGTCTGCCTATAATACTTTGTCTGTGTCCTCCCAATTATATCTTAGTCAACAAATTAATGTCCAACTTAAATTATCGTTGATTTTTTAACAAAAAATGATGGATTTATAACATATGAATAGTCGGATGATCATTTTATAACTTTTAATAATCGAATGACTCAACAAAACAATGCCTTATAATTAAAGAACTATTGTATAACTTTCAATAGTGAAAAAACTCAATAGAGAGCGGCTCTCTCCATCCGAATATTTTTACTTTTATTTTATTTTGAATTTTGACTTAGTGGTTTTTTAATCCTCAATTTAAAATAATAATTTACTTATAAAATTTTTGTATTTAATTGAATTCTCATAATTAAAAATTCCATTAATTAAATTTCCTTAAGTAATATTATTATTAATTTTTTATAGATGCGACTAACAACTTTCTATAATAGTGACATTTTCTTAATAATTTTAATTTTTTTTCTTAAGGTGGTGAAATAATCATAGTTAAATTTCATAAATAAAATGGACACTCTACAGGTTAGAAAGAAAGCTATATAATGAAAAAGATATATGTTCATATCACTCTCTTTTGAATTAACGGTTCTTCGTATAAATCATACCGAGCTAAAGACTTTGTACCGGTTCACTAATTCATCCAAAAATAGACAGAAGTTAATAAAAAGCTCAAACAAACGAAACACGAAGAAAAGATTATAATCAAATAAAAAGGAAAGTGAAAAAATAGTAACATGGTCTCCTTAAGCAGATGCTTTTGCACTGAAAAATGCCTACTTAGTTACATCCAGCACTTGACCTCCTCTCTTTTCTGCTGCACCGGAGAGTGAGACCTTCACCGCATATTGATCCATCAGATCGTCAAATGTCATGATAGACGGATACAAAGGCACATCGCCACTGATATCCGGCAAGCCCCTGGAGTAGACTCCTGCACCTGCGGCTAGAGCCTCCAGTTGCGTACCGCAACCTCTCGACTAGGTTAATTTTAACTAAATGGGATATTAAGATTAATGCTGACCAAAATATATTAACACAAAGATAGGGTACAGGTTTTTATTCATATATATATGTATGTATGTATTAGAACTTGATCAAGGATTCAAGCCCCATAGGCCTTTGTTTTCAGACGTTGAATACAAATCTCTGCAAGTTGAGACAGTGAAGTATAAGAAGAACCACCTTCGACCACAGCTTTTGTTGCACTATTCTTTAGCTCTTTGATCCTAGTTCGTATGTTCCGTCCTTCATGATCTATCATTATTTTGCTAACCATCGATCTTATCTCTTCTCTCCCCACCACTCTATCAGGTTTCATTGTTACTCGGATACTTGCTCCAATATCTTCCGTCAATATATCAGCATTCATCTTCTGCTCCGAATAAAGCGGCCATACGATCATTGGCACCCCATTAATTATACTCTCCAAGGCTGAGTTCCATCCACCATGTGTTAAAAACCCACCAATCGAGGGATGACTCAGTATCTCCACTTGAGGTGCCCACATTGGGATCACTAGTCCAAGATCTTGGGTCCTAGCCGAAAACCCTTCAGGCAGGTAATTTAGGGTGCCATCAGATCCATTCCCCAAAGCGAGAAAGTTCCCTGCTGCGTCATTTTCAATAGGAGGACGAGCTACCCAAACGAACCTTTGTTGGCTAAGTTCCAGCCCCCAAGCTAGCTCTATAACTTGTTGGGTTGATAAGGTTCCACCACTCCCAAAGGAAACATAAATCACCGATTCCTTCGGTTGTTTGTCGAGCCAATCTATTATTTCATTACATAAAACAGACTTTTTAGTCGGTCTCACTAGTGGACCAACCGGGTATATGGGTGCCTTCTTTGTTTCTTTCAAGGCTTTAAGACTAAATGGTTCGAGTTCATCCCAAGTATTCACCAAGATCCCATCAGACAAAGACATTTTAATAACGGCGTCGATAAATCCCTGATACGACGGACCGCTGGGATCCATGAAAAAAACTTCGAAGGTATCCTCAAACTTAAGTGGCTTGCAACCTGGAATGTTGAGTGGCGTTTGGTTCTTTACATGCTCATCGATCTCTTTTCTATCCATCTCCGGCGTGCACAACATAACTGAAAAAAGCCTTGCGTTAGAAGTTACGAACACGAACTTTAACATGTTGAAATCATCGGCAATCCCCAAAGCACTAGTTCCGAACATATCGACGACTAGAGCGGAGGGAGGAGACTCCATCTTAGAGATTTCAGTTTTGAGAAACGGCAAAGACCGTAGGACGGCTACCACTATTTGGTCTACAAACGAAACACCAGGTCCGACTATGTCGGAAACGTCAACGAAAGGGACTAAAACAATATCAAGGAGATCACCATCGTCATCGGAGTCTGCCAGTGATTGAAGAAGTTGGGTGTTTGTGATGGAGGCATGGTCGGTTGAAACGACAAAGAGCGTCACTTTGAAGCTTTGATGGGAGACGAGGCGTTGGGCAAGCTCTAGCACTGGAATCAAGTGCCCCATTCCAGGGCTTGCAAGGAGGGCTATATGGGGCATTGTGCTTTCCATTGAACGAAGATTGGTGACAGCTAAGTTAGAAATTAACGAAAGAGAGGCGATGAAGAATAGGGTAAGCTTTAGTGTTATTTATAGAGAGAAGATCCAGCTATAACTGTTATTTATAGATAAAATATCCAGCTATAAGTGTTGAAAATCTCGTTCTGTATCAAGCATCAAATTTTTATTTAATGCAAGTTTTGCATATAAATTATAAGTTTTTTCCATAGAGAATCAATTATGTAAATCTCACATGTTCAAACAATTAATCATTTATATAAAAACAACAATCATCTATTATGATTTCGAAAATAATAATAATGAATTAACCTTTAATTTATTATCCGTTTGTAATCCATTTTAATTTTTTTGTGTAAGTATATTAAAACGATAATTTTATTAAAAAATATACATTTTTTTATAACCATCAATTTTTGATCTATTAATTTAATATACTAACGTATAGGCCTAATATAAAGATGACTCTCTTAACTTAATTTACTCTATTCGTAAATATCATAATTTAAACTTTGATCTGACTAAAAGATCTAGTATCTTATCCATTGAATCCTAGTATTAAAAACATATCTAAATCATATCATCTAATGTATTATACCAAAACAAATAGAAACAAAGTTGACTTCTTTATTTTAATATATAAATAAAAACAAAATGAATACTATAACAAGTATTGTCATTAGTTATATGTCATTATATTTATTCATTTTCTAAATCCCAGATTTTATATTTACTTTTACTTTCGAATCCACGTGGCAGAATATAAACTTTCAAACATGGCATGTGATATTTTAATTTGGTTTTGTTTTTATTCTAAATTTAGATTTGAATTAATTTAATTTTAGCCAATGCTACCGTACTATGAATTAAATATATAGGGGCTTAGAGAGCGGCTCCCTCCCTTTCCTAACTTTTTTTACTACGTGGTATTTATCTTGCCGGTTGCCCCTTGAGCATTTATTTGCTCATTTAATTCGTTTGATTGTACTACTTTAATATGTTTTCTAAATCCAAGGGGACTATAAGGGGTTTTTTCGTTTTCAGTACAGTCGATCAAATTAATAAAACTTGCATTTCTTCATGTGATTCTTTTAGCTGATTCAAGTAATAATTGGATCAAACATTTTACTTGTGAAGATGGTGATTTTTAGGGGGAAAAGAAGAGAAAAACGAAGATTTAGGCTATAGATGGTTCATGAAAAATACCAACTAATCAATATGTTAATGAGGTGGGAAGAAAAAAAGATGAAATGAGCTTCAGTTAAAAAAATATAACGGTGTTAATATAAGTAGATTAATTTATCAGTAATAAAAATTGAATAATATAATTAGATTAAATTAAAAATTCATAATATATATGTAAACTTTTACCAATATCTAAAATTCGAAATTCATGTTTCCAAACAACCATATATGTTGTTTAAAAGCAGAAATGTTTTTTTTAATAATATGGGGCGGTTATAAAATTGTATCTATTAATATTTTTTTTTATCAATTGACAACGCACACCTCGCATACATAGCTGTTCGAACCCAAGACCTCTAGGAAGAACAATACTCCCTTTGATCACCGAAGAGGACTAAAGCAAGAAAACCACAAGCGAGAGTACCCAAATCTTGAAAGCATGAAAAGCTTTCACTTGGTCTAAATGGAGGGCCTAAACGGTACGGAAGAAAGTAGAAATGAGCAAAAGAGAATGTCTACAGTAGGAAGGTTCTAAGCTAATGCTTAGTTGTTGCAACTCAAAGCTGTGCTGCTTGTCTTAGCAGTTATAGTTTGCAGCATTTGCGAGCTGCTTTGTTTTAAGCAAACATAGGTGTAAGAAGCAAAGACGAATGTCATGTTCTAAGCCAATGCATAAAGTTCAGTCCATCCTAGTTCCATACTAACATACTATATACGCCCTCAGCAACATGCGGTAACATTAGGAAAGCTTTGGTTAAGCAAAAATGTAAATGATCTTTCAGGAAAAATTATTCTCAAACATTATGTAAACGATGGAAATTTAAGTGGACTTTGTGCTACCTTGCAAAAACTAGATACACCGTGGGAAATGGGTTTGCCCAACATAGCCACCATGCATAGCCCTTCTCACGTTAGACTCAAACAACTTTGGACTATCCCTCAAAACTGCAGCAGCATCATGATTTAGTGGGTCCTCGTAATTCGGTTCCTTCACAAAAAATGGTTCGGATATCAGATGTATACAATACAAATGCATAGAGGAGGTGGATGCAAATTCAAAGAACTAATGTTTATAAATATGATAGTTATTACAGTGAAAAGATGATATAATCCATAGATTATGGTGTTTATATTGAGCACGGGCTTCCAGTCTTCGCGTAAGATGTTAAGGCAAACATTTCCTTCCAAGTCAATGTTTGGATGGTATATCTGGAAATCAGAGTACAACATGAAACAAGCCAGGTTATAATAAAAGGAAAATGTAAAGTAAGCAGAATCAATTTGGTAAAGAATCAGGGGACCTAGAAGTAAATAAGATGAGCCGGTCTACCTTAGTCTTGCACTTAACTTTCGGTGCCTCATGCGGATAGACAGGAGAAACTTGGAAGGAGAACAAAAATGTACCACCACTGAGAAAACAGCAGTCAGTTGGGCGATTACTTGTTTGATTTATTAATACAAAAACAAAAAACCGAATGTAAAGCAATTGTATGTAAGAACAACATTACTTCCTCCCTAAGAATAATTTTAATCAATATATTATGCTATAGAACAAAATGTTGCTCATTTTAAGATACAATTAATGAAAGAAATTCCTTACAGATAATGTCCTTCATCGGGACGTATTGTAACTTCGAAGTTCATCAGGTCATCTTTTCCATTAGGAAACGTTATGGAGCAAGATTTGGGTAGGTTAAGCTCAGAAATATCTGCAAAATGATATGAAATTTATAAATCTGTAAATCCTTAATTCGATCCTAGATCATACAAATCCTCTTAAATCCAGTTGCTGCAATGCTCAATCCCATTCAATCCTTAAGAAAGCTAAAGAAGGTTGCAACAAAATTGAAGGATTCTTAAAAAAAAACAATTTAGTAAACAAACAAACCTTTGTGTAAACGCAACTCCCCTGCAGTTTGCTTTTTGAGAGGTGATCCGCCGTTTGAATTTTCAGCAAGTTCTCTCTGCTTTTCTTTAACTTTAAACAATCTAATCATAGCTCCTACAAATAAATGCTAAAAACGTTTCTTTTTAATTTACATTGTTGTTAGAAGAATTTAGTAACAGAGTCAAACCGATAAAAAAATTATCATTCTCAATGAAGTAAACATGAAGTAACAAGCAGTAGGATCGGAAACAGAAAATGAAACATAGCAGAGTGGTCTCAAAATCTGTGTCGTGACTCAAAAGTAAAAATCAAAATTCAAGTTGAGTTTAGGGCTTAGCAAATTACCTGACCTGATTTCCTGGCTTGAAGGCAAGAGAGGGCTTGGGTCAGAACAGAAAGACAGACTGACACTGAGCGGTGAGTGAGACGCTTCTGTGGCTGCGCCGGCGGGGATGAGTGAAAAGAGACGAGAATAAGTCCGTGATTTTCAAAGGAAATTTTAGCTACATGTATAACTTGGTGGGGTTGGGGGGTAACAGCCACTGATTCCCATGGCAATTGACGGACTGTGAGGAAAGCCCAATCCAGATAATTTTATTGGGATAGAAAATCCACAATAATAATAACAGTTAATTGTACCATATTACCTCACATTATGGGCCTTATTTTAATTGATTTTTAAATTTTTAAATATTTCAATTTTATCTCTAAAATATAGCTTTTATTTTAAGTTCATCTTTAAATTTTTAAATATTTTAATTTTATCCTTAAATTATTACTCTTATTCTAAATTGACCTATTGTTTTTAATATTTCAATATCATCTCTATATTATAAGTATATGTTAATAATGTTTCATGTTAATAAAATCATTCGGTCAAGTTATATTATTATACGTTTGCAAAAAAGACAAAAAGTAAGTTAAATTGTAATTTAAATTAAGTTTATATTTAGATGAATTTAGAGATAAAATAAAACGTTCAAAAGTTTCATGATTAATTTAGAGTGAGCATAATGATAAAAGTAGCTTTAACATTTAATTAAATAGTAATTTTAACTTATATTTTGTTTTTTAAAACACTTAATGTTTAATAATCAACATTTATTATCGATATAATAAGTTATATTTTAAAATACTAACATAAACATATCACGTGTTTAAATTAATGATATGATATATACTATATTTTCAAAATGATAAAGTTTTCAAGTTAGTTGGTCTCGCCGTCTCGGGTGTGCACAACTTAATATTTTTAGGCACAAAGGTATTCAAAGTATTTGAATTTTAAAATAAAAATTAATGTGGCCTTCATCTTATTTTTTTAAATCAATGTAATTTTTTAATTTGAGAAAATAACTCAATGTGACCCTTTGATCAACGTTTTTCGTTATTGACCATCAGTTTCGTTAATTCTTGCTGTTATAAATTCGGTAAATTACACAATTCATCACTCAACGATTTTATTCTCTTCTATTTTGGTCACTAAACTCTAAAAGTTTTTAATTTCGGAAACTATAGAGACTTCAGGGACTAAGGTTATGGTTAACCCATTTTATTTTAAGGGTAATCTACACAAATGATCACTTCTGTTTAAGAGATAAATTACTAATATGGGTGTTTTTGTAAACCCAAAATATGTTTTCTTCCCCATATCTATCTTCTCCGCCGCTTCCCCTACTTCATCTCTGAACTATATTGGTAATCTTCCAGCTGTAGGAAATGGGGCCTCAAAAATAAATTTGGAGGATTATATGATGATAAATTAATTAGATATATGATGATTTTTCGATCTGTAACGTATCGAATACGAACTCTCGACATAAAACTTAAATGGTTTATTGGTAACTTGAAACGAAACAGAAAAAGCTAAAGCAACAGAAAAATGCAGGCAAGAACACTTAACAGAAGAGTTTAGGATGAAAAAAACATATTCATAAACACAATAAAAGATACTAAATAACATGATTTCAGCATCCTTAATAACTCAAATCTTCGCTTGCAACAATCGATCCCGGCAGAGGCCATTAGAACGAAAAATTCAGAGTACATTTCCGTGAGGAACTTGTCGACAATTGAGAGGTACACGGGACTTTTATGTCGGGAATAATAATAGATTGCCTATTCTACATCCAATACGTGTTCCATATCACCAACATCCATCATCTCCAATTCCTTCATCTTTTCCACCAATAATGCATGGCTTCCCACTTTTGTTTCCTCTTTTTTCCCTTCATTTTGTATTTCGGTCTTCACCAGACTCGTATCTCCAAATCTCATCAAGCTCCCACTACTTTCATCTTCTTCCCTTGGTATCTCTTTCAATGTCATGGTATCGTTCTTTCTCATCATTGCCTCTTCTACACCTTCCCGACTCGTAAAACAGTCGACGGAGGATCGAGCTTCTGAAAGCTTTTCTATGGTGCAATCGAAGGGTCTGGAAGTTACCTCCAAATTTATCTTTGAGGCCCCATTTCCTACGGTTGGGAGATCACCAATATAGTTAGAGATGAATTAGGGAAGCGAGATACGTTTGGGGAAGAAAACATATATAAAAAAAAGTAAATTGATATTTTATCTTTAAATTATTTTGGGTTTACAAAAAACTCATGATTAATAATTTATTCTCGAAATAAAAATATTATTTGTACCGTTTACCTTTAAAATAAAATTGGTTAACTAGAACCTTAATCCCTAAAGTCTCTTAAGTTTTAGAAATTGAAAACTTTTAGAGTTTAGTGAACAAAATAGAAAAGAAGATAATTGAGTGATGAATTGTGTAATTTACCCAATTTATAATAAAATAAATTAACGAAACTGTTGGTCAATAAAGAAAAACATTGGTTAAAGAGTCGTATTGATCCAAAAAAATAGGATGAGGGCCACATTAGTTTTTTTAGAAAGTTCAGAGGCCTCATATGTCTTTTTACTTTATTTTTTTAGGGTAAACTACTTCAAATACCACTAACCTTTAAGCACAGGCTTGAAAAAACCACTAATTTTACTAATTTTAGCATTGACGTTTATGTTTAATTTCAATTATGTCACTCCGCAGTTAATCTGTTAACGAGACATTGACATGACATCTCTTTACCGTGACGGTAATGATGTGGCTTCCTCACCAAAATGAAGTCATTTTGGCAACGATCATTTTGATGCTCAAAAAGCTCAAAATAGTGTCGTTTTGTTGATGGAAAAAAAGCTTTATATGAGATTCAAACCATAAATCTTTAGGAACCAAAGCTAAACACCCAATCAATATGCTAACTTTGTTTACAGATTAAATCCCACACCCAAACTTACAAAATCTTTGCTTACATATTCTAAAATTCTCCTTGTTTTCTTCCATAACAAAACCCTAAAATTTTTGAGTTTTTAACCCAAACTCACAAAATCTTTACTTACGTATTCTAAAATTCTCCTTCTTTACTTCCCTTATAAAACCCTAAAAATTTTGAGTTTTTAACCCAAACTCACAAAATCTTTCCTTGTAGATTCACCTTATATTATTTTCTTTTTCCTTTTCCAACTAGTTCTATCAAAAGAAGACCATTCTCCATATTTATACCTTTTTAATTTTCATCATTTTCTTTAATTTAGAGTTGGTTCCTCTCTTATTATCTCAATGTTCCTTTTTCTTTCACTCTTGTTTTCAATTACTCGAAAACTTCACAAAATCCCTAATTTAATGCTTCACTTTATGAAAAGCTAACCAGACAAGGGCGTTGAGCCAAATATCGGTGTTTTTCCCGATATATCACCCATTGGTTTTATTTTTCCCTGTCAGGCACTGTTCAGACTATATTTCTCGATCTAACATCCTCTGCAGTAAGGCGCGCCCCTTGCAGCACGCTTTACGCTGATCTGATGCCACGTAGGGTAAGGCACCCCCTTGAAGCGCACTTTATGCTGACATGGAATACACGTGTGTAAAGCACGACCCCTAGGGCATGCCTTACGCCACGTAGGGGTATAGCGCGGGGTAGGGGTCATGCCTTACCTTTAAATCTGACACGCGTCAGAAAGGCGCACCCCCTACGACACGCCTTAGGTTTAATTATCCACCTACCCCGGTCGTTCACACCCCCATCCCTCCCTAGAAATACCCCCATTCTCAATCACTTTCATCACACCAAATCCTCTCAACTTCTCTCAAATACTCTTATATTCTCTTATAACTATTTAAGGTATATTTTATTATATTTAATTTTTTGTTTGTAATTTATTTAAATATTTAAATATTTAAATATTTTATTTAATTAATTTTTTTGTAGATATAAAATGGAAGGTGGTCTACTTCACTTAGATGAAAATCATATATCTAGACATTTTGCTGATATAGTAACATTTTAACGTTTTAATTTAATTTAAATTATTAGTAATAATTTATTTATTTATTTAATGCATGTTATTAGTTTAAAAATTAATTTTTGTAATTATTTAATTTTAGAAGAGGGACTGTGTATTAGATCCTTTTATTAGGAACCTTAAGTTAGTGATACCTAGCTGTGTCTTGCCGTATTTAGTAGAGGTTGGATTCGGTCACATAGGTAGATATGAGGGTCATTGTAAGATAGAACCATAACTTATTGTTACCTTAGTGGAACGGTGGAGGCCGGAGACCCACACATTCCATCTTCTGTGCAGAGAGTGCACGATTATACTTGAGGATGTTTCTATGCACTTGGGGCTTTCGATGGATGGAGATGTAATATCGGGGATGGCGCACGGTTCCTGGACTGCTTTGTGCCGGGATTATCTAGGACGTGTCCCGAAAAGTTTTAACGGTGGTCGGATACCGTTAAATTGGTTAGATGCCAATTTTTGGGAGTTGAGCGAGGACACCTCTGATGATGAAGTTAAAATGTATGCACGGGCATGCATACTGCAGCTGATAAGAGGGTTGCTGATGCCGGACAAATCGCGCAACCAAGTTCACTATATATGGTTGCCACATCTTGGCGACTTTTGTCTGGTTGGATCACTCAATTGGGGCTAGGAAGTTTTGGCTTTCATGTACAGGAAGATGTGTCGAGCGAATGCTTACAGGAAAAATACTATCGGTGGATGTATCTTGCTGCTGCAGTCTTGGGCATGGCATCGATTGCCCTTTTTATGTCCCGTTGTCAAGAACCCATTCGTATTTCCGCTACTATTAAGGTAATTATAAAACTGATTTCGTATATTAATCATTTTATACAGTGTATAATAATTTTTTTCTTGAATAGATGGTCTACTGATAGGAAAAATCATCAGGAGCTACCTGATGATTTAGAAAAAAAATTAGGGTGCTAATGGATCAGAAGGTTGACATACATGTATGCATTTTAATGTTTAAAAATCGATTTTATATTATTGTTATATAATTATATTATTATTTTGATAAAAATTATATATATTTGTTTTAGTTTGAATGGGTGTCATATTCTAGAGATGATATAAGGATGGTGATTCCACCTGAGTTGAGGGGCCCATCAGATGTTTGGATGGCGATGATCCCTTTGATTTGTTAT